TTTTTTTAAGTTTATTTATTTTGAGAGAGGGAAAGAGAATCCTAAGCAGACTGTGCTGCCAGCACAGAGCCCAACATGGGACTTGATCCTAGTACCGTAAGATCATGACCTGAACCAATATCAAGAGTCAGATGCTTAACCAACTGAGCCACTTAGGTGTCCCCATACTACTCTTGAGTAACTCTAATAGCATGCATTTCTCCTTTCAAACCAAGGGAAACCAGGCCTCAGGTTCAAAGCTTCAGCTAACGATTGATTGTGAGACCCGGAGAATTCAAGTGCCTTACCCAGGAGCACCAAGCAAGTTCATGTCAATGCCTACAGGGGTCTCTGTGTCCATTAACTGCATCAACAGCAGACCCTGACCCGATGCATCCTATTCTGTCAGCCCTTTACTGGTGTTCTCATTCAGTCCTCACATCAACACTGTAAGAGAAGTGCTGTTACTTCTTCCAAGTCTAGTGCTTTATTCCAAATCTCACACTGCCTCATTGGGCATCCAGAAATCAGAGTCTGCTATTTCAGTAGTTGGAGGAGAAGAGGTAATGGGAGGTAGGGAAAAGATATTAATTAAGTCTTGGGTGTATCAGAAAGATTAACCTTAGTGGGTAAGAAAATGACAGGCTGTGACAGATGTGGATACCATTTCTAGCTCCTCTATTTCCTAGCTACGTAACTTTAGTGAATTTATTTAACCTCTCGGTTTTCCATTCTAGAAAATAGACATTAAATCTACTTCATAGAGTGCTTGGTGGAGATTAAATAAGTATTTAAGGGGTGCCTGGGTGGCTCAGTCAGTTAAGCGTCCGACTCTTGATTTTGGCTCAGGTGGTGATCCCAGAGTTGTGGGATCAAGCCCCATGTCAGGCTCCATGCTTAGCGTTTTTTTTTTTTTTTTTCTCCTAAAAAAGAAAGGTATTTAAAAAAAATTTTTTTTTTAACGTTTATTTATTTTTGAGACAGAGAAAGACAGAGTATGAACAGGGGAGGGGCAGAGAGAGAGGGAGACACAGAATCTGAAATGGGCTCCAGGCTCTGAGCTGTCAGCACAGAGCCCGACGTGGGGCTCGAACTCACAGACCGTGAGATCATGACCTGAGCCGAAGTCGGACGCTTAACCGACTGCGCCACCCAGGCGCCCCAAAAAATGTATTTAAATGTCAGCTGTTGGGGCGCCTGCCTGGCTTGGTTGGTAGAACATGTAATTCTTGATCTCACGGTTGTGAGTTTGAGCCCCTTGTTGGTTGTAGAGATTACTTAAAAATAAAATCTTAAAATAAAAACATTTAAATGTCAGCTGTTGGGAGAATTCAGGAGCACAGGGAGTCTTGACTGCTGAGAATGGTGTATGCTGTGTTCGTTTGCTAGGGTAACAAAGTAGCCCAGGTTGAGGGTCTTAACAAAAAGTAAGGTATCAGCCAGTTCGGTTTTGTTTCAGGCCTCTCTCCTTAGCTTGTAGTTGGCTGTCTTCTCTGTGTCTTTACATGGTCTTCTCTCTGTATCTGTGGTCATATTCCTTCCTCCTATAAGGACAATAGTCATACTAGCTTAGGGCCCACCCTAATGGCATCGTTTTAAGTTAGTCACCTCTTTAAAGGCCCTGTCTCCAAATACAGTCACATTTGGAGGTAGTTGGGGTTAGGACTTAAACATATGAGTTGAAGTGGGGGCGGGGGGCGGGGGGAGAGACGATTCATGTTAAAAGAAAAATTGATCTACAGAAAAATGTAAACAGTAGTTGCTGGTAACCACAGTCATCGGAAAGGTTTATTTCCTTCCAGTCTTTTTTAAAGATTTTTATTTTTAAGAGGGGCTCAAACCCAACCTCCAGGTCAAGAGTCACATGCTTGGGGCACCTGGGTGGCTCAGTTGGTTACATGTTGGGCTTTGGCTCAGGTCATGATCCCGTGGTTCTTGAGTTCCAGCCCCGCATCGGGCTCTGTGCTGACAGCTAGAGCCTGGAGTCTGCTGCAGATTCTGTGTCTCCCTCTGTCTCTTCCCTTCCCCCACTCACGCTCTGTTTCTTTCTCAAAAATAAAAAGGAAAAAAAAGTCACGTGCTCTACCAAATGAGCCAGCCAGGTGCCCCTCCTTCCGGTATTTTATTTATTTATTATTTTAAAAAATATTAATGTTTATCTTTGAGAGTGAGAGTGTGAGTGGGGGAGGGGCAGAGAGAGAGGGAGACAGGATCAGAAGCAGACTCTGCGCTGACAGCAGACAGCCCGATGTGGGGCTCGAACTCAGGAACTGTGAGATGGTGACCTGAGCCAAAGTTGGAGGCTTAACTGACTGAGCCACCCAGGAGTCCCCTTCCAAACTTTTTATATGTGCATAGTTGCATATATTATATAGGTCTTTCTACATTCTGCTTACATTCTGCTTACTTGGTTTCACTTCATAGCATAAGAACTTCCCTAGGTAACTTAAAAACTCGACTATAAATACCATTTTGCATAGTTGGATAAATAATCCATGGAGTGTAAACACTGGAGTGTAAATCCATGGATTATTTAACTGTTGCTCTATATTAAAGTGATTTAACCTTTGCCACATCTCATTCCTGGGCCTTTTAGCCCTAGAGCAAATTCCTCAGATGATGAGACTACTGAGCTGTGTTCAGGAGGCAAAGGTCAGGGTCACCCTGAAAGGTGGCCTGAGAGTCTCGCGGTTTCCAGGGCCTCCTGGAACTGACTCAGGCCTAGATCCCACCTTCTTCCCCTTACTGGCCAAGCATATCACACACAGGCCACCACCCCTCAGTGGGGACCTTGTCAGTAGGGCAATCTGATTTTTAAACATCCTCTCTCTTTGTCACAGGCACATTCCAGCCTTCCCCGACTGGATCCTGCCTCTCTCTGTGGGGCTCTTGGGTTCTAGGGAGCTTGCCCTGGGCTCTGGGGAGCTGAAGGCACCTCTGTATGCCTTTAAGCCTTCCCTCTTTTCCATTCCATTCACTGACCCCCTCTCTCCAAAAGATGACCAATGTCTTAACCTCTTTCACCTAGGTTGGTTGTGCCTGTTCTTGAACCTCCTGTCCATGTGATCATACCTGTGTCCTCTCTTACACCTAGCCTCTGTTACTCAGCTGTATGTTTATAAGGTTCATCCACGTTGTTGTCTGTCCTTGTGGTTGATCTCATTGTGTGAATATACTACAGTGTTTCTGTCCATTCTCCCTTGATGGACCTTTGGGTTATTTCCAGTTTTTCACTATTAGAAATAGTGCTGCTGTGAACATTATAACACATGCCTTCCGGTGAATGTGTTTTTGTTGGGTCTCTACTGCAAAGGGGAATTGCTGGGTCTTGGGGAATGTGTATATTTAGCTTTGGTAAATACCACCCAACAGTTCTCCAAAATGACTATTCCGTTTTATACTCCCACATCAGACTTCTGCTGTTTTTTCTTACTGAGGTAAAATATCCATGACCTATAATTGGCTGTTTTAACCATCTTAAAGTAAACAATTCAGTGGCGTTAAAGCACATTCACACTGTTGTGCAACTGGCATCATAATCCATCTCCAGAACTTTTTCATTACTTGCAGCAGAAACTCTGCACTCATTGAATGGTAACTCCCCATTTGTCCCTCTCTCCAGCCCCTGGTAACCTCTATTCTATTTTCTATGTCTGTTAACTATTCTAGGTACCTCATATACACAGAATTCTACAGTATTTGTCCTTTTGTGACTGGCTTATTTCACCTGGCTTAATGTTGGCAAGATTCACCCATATTGTAGCATGTATCAGAATTATATTACTTTTGAAAGCCGAATAGCATTCCACTGCATGTATATAACACATTTTGTTTATCTCTTCATATCTTGATGGAGTCTTGGGTGTGCACCTTTCAGCTATTGTGAAAAATGATGCTATGAAAATCAGTGTACAAGTTTCTTCGTGCATTCCTGCTTTCACTTCTTTGGGGTAAACCCCTAGAAGTAGAACAATGGATCATACGGTAATTCTGTTTACCTTGTGAGGAACCACCAAACTTTTTCACACCATTTTGCATTCCCAATACAGGAGGGTTCCTTTTTCTTCCCACCTTGGCAGGACTTTGTTTTTCTTTAAAAAAAAAAAAAAAAAAAAAAGTTTTCCCAGGGCATCCAGCTTCAGCTTATGTCATGATCTCACCGTTGGTGGGTTCGAGCCCCATGTCAGGCTCTGTCGCACAGAGCCTGCTTTGGACCTCTGTACCCCTCTTTTCCTCTCCCCTCGCTTGCACTCTCTCTCTCTCTCTCTCAAAAATAAAACATTAAAAAAATTGTTTTTAATAAAATAAAATAGTTTTCCTAGCAGGTGTGAAGTGGTACCACAATTGATTCTGATTTGCATTTCCCTAATGACTAATGATACGGAGCATCTTTTCATATGCTTATTGGTTATCTGTATATCTTTAGGTCAATGTCTTTTCAGGTCCTTTGCTTTTTTCTTTTTCTTTTATTTATTTACTTAGTTATTTTTTAATTTACCTCCAATTTAGTTAGCATGTAGTGCTGTAATGATTTCAGGAGTAGATTCCAGTGATTCATTCCCTATGTATAACACCCAGTCAGTTCTCACCCCCAACTAGTGTTTCCCCTAATGCTCCTTACCCATTTAGCCCATCCCCCCCACCCACAATCCCTCCAGCAACTCTCAGTTTGTTCTCTGTACTTAAGAGTCTCTTATGTTTTGTCCCCCTTTTTTCTTCTTTAAAAATTTTTTTTTTAAGTTTATTCATTTTTGAGACAGAGACACACAGCATGAGCAGGGGAGGAGCAGAGAGAGAGAGAGGGAGACACAGAATCTGAAGTAGGCTCCAGGCTCTGAGCTGTCAGCACAGAGCCAGATGCAGGGCTCA